TTATGTGAGTCATAACTTATTTGATCGTCTATAATCATTAAAAGAAACTTCAATAAGATTTTTACCTTAAATAGGCTTCAATAACTTAAAGAGCAGATTTTTTTTAGACTTTTTTATGATATCGGGGGCAAACGAAAAGGACCCCAATTCTGGTATATTAATATTGTATCAATAGACTGTCGATAGAATGTCCTCAGAATAGCTTTGCACCTTTCACATTGTACTAACTATGTAAGACCAATGGCCTCCATTACTTGTCACTGAACTGATATAAATGTCGTCGATCTCTTTGTAATAGTTTGGAAAACGTTACATTTTTAATTCAGAAGGAAATTTTAAATTTAATTTTCCAGATATGGCAATGTTTCTGATATCACCATTGATGAGCCACTGTCCCTAAATCCACAGTCTATTGATGCTGTGAATTTATGTTAGTAGAATACCGATATATTGACTAATGTCAATGGCATCTCAACAGCGTGATGGAATGACAGTGGCTTGTACGTTGACATTAAATAGCAGAATTGACGCTCAGATTGATGGTAAACGACTATCGCTTCACATGAACATCTGTAACAACTCTGGAGTAAATTTTGGAGTGGAAGTATTTTTTATAATGTAGGGAAGTAAACGAGCACACGGGTTACCTGATGGTAAGCGACTACCGCCGCCCCTGTATAATAATAAAATTATTTCGGACATCTGACACACAATGCCATCTATTTTCAAACTAAGCAGAGCTTGTACTATAAAAACTAGATTGGCTGATAGAATACTTATATACTTTTTTTTGTAAATACATACATATTATATATAGAGAGCACCCAAACTCTGAAACAAATATTGGCTGATCATACAAACATTTGGTCCGACCCGAGAATCGACTCCGAGACCCGAGCACAGGAATCGCATACGCTACCACTGCCCCACCGAGGCAGTCATCATACTCGTATGATTATTAGGATAGGATATCAGAATGTTTCAAAGAATAATAAACTTGTCCTATAATTTAATGCAAATAATTTTCGGATCAAAACTACGGAAATAATTATGTACTATTAAGTAACAAGGTTACAAAAAAGCTACACAATGGATCTTCACACATATTTTATAATTATGTACAACTTTGTTACATGTATCTATGATATTACATCTGTTTTACTTTAGTTTAAATTGACGACTCTTTTCGCTTTTAATTGCATATAAAGCCCATTGGTTCCTTATTTCCCAAGATAAAATCTTGTAATGTAATTTAAAATCATATGTATTACTAGCTGACCTGCGCAACTTCGTCTGCGTCTCTCAATAGTAATACATTTTCTCCGTTTTTGAAACATTCTTCATTGGTACTCCGCTCCTATTGGTCTTAGCGTGATGATATATAGCCTATAGCCTTCCTCGATAAATGGGCTATCTAACACTGAAAGAATTTTTCAAATCGGACCAGTAGTTCCTGAGATTAGCGCGTTCAAACAAACAAACAAACAAACAAACAAACTCTTCAGCTTTATAATATTAGTATAGATAATGAAGTTTTGATTCTCCAGTTATCTCATTCACAGTAAGTATTGTTTAACACCGGCATTCTGTAAGGCTGGTATCACTTCTGTCGAGTCTGCCTACATGTATACTACCGTTGGTTCATATTTCTGACCGCTGGATGGGCCCCTCTGTTGACCCGTTAAATAAAACTAGATTCCATTTATGTACCAGTCGAATATAATATATAATGAACAGTGAGCTGTTACCTATTTTATATCGGTTTGCATGATCCCAACACAAACAAATTCTCTATTCAAACTAAGTTCGTGTGATTGCATAGTTGTAACCCTTTCATGTGTAACAAGATTTTTTCATCCCTTACTTGCTTACTATTTTTACACGCTGCATCCAGAATGTGAGAATAATCACTAATGTTTTGTGGCTAAAACGTTTTGTAACTGTGAGCAAATTTTAGCTAATGAGATACCAAAAAAAGTTGCTAATTGGTTGGTAAGATATATATTAGCGGGTGTTACACCCTTTGGTAGTTCACTAATGATAAGTAGCTTAATAAAAATCTTGTGTAAGGATAATTTATTCGTCAAGTGTAAAACATTTTTTTTATTTTGCGTTAAGCGGTTTTAAAGCAATGCCTGTATTTATTTTTATATGTATGTGTTTCTATATGTTTTGCTGAGACTGAAGACTGGAGACTTTAGATTATATATAGTAACAAAAAATTCAAACTGTTTGCTAGAAGACGAAAGACGAAAATGATTCGTTAACCTGCACGCTCCTAGAACTCTAAAGAAAAAATCAGTGTTGACATTGACAAAATAAGTTTGCTTTATCTGTAAACTGCCCCTGTGGGGTACAAAACTTACTCTAAAACAACAAATCAACTTTTAATAGATTAATGTCACCTGCTCCGCAGATGGTAGCATGAATTACAATTTCATAGACAATGATTTCATCATCATCTCCTTAGAAGCCTCTCCTTACAAAAAAACAATGGGTTGTTACGAACAAATTTAAAAATGAAGAAAGTTGAAGAACTATGTTGAATTATGTCACCGCTGAATGCAGGAGAAAGTATTATGTCGATTAAAATGCAAATAGGGTGGTAAACAGAGTGTAGGCGACACGCCGCCGCTCCGTCCCGGCGCCTCGACCTATACATAGTAAGTAGGTACATCATTGATTAAAACCTGCAATCGATACTACTGTGGCTATACGATTAAAGCCGATCATTGTGCTGTTATGGCTTTCACTTTATGTTATTGAAGGCTAAATTTACATTTGAATTTAAATTTAATTTCATAAAATCGTCAATAAAATAATATTAAATTAACAATTATAATAGATGGCTTAATGAAATGTGTAAACTTATCTTATATATAAAATTCTCATGTCACAATGTTAGTTACCATACTCCTCCGAAACGGCTGAACCGATTTTTATGAAATTTTGTGTGCACATCGGGTAGGTCTGAGAATCGGCCAACATCAATTTTTCATACCCCTAAATGACAAGGGTGACCCACCCTAAATTTTTTTTCAATATTTCCTAGAAATAATGTATATATATGGCAAAACAACGTTTGCCGGGTCAGCTAGTATTATATTTTAAATATCACCGAATTCATTGCACTTACATCGTGACGAATTTTAACAAACTGTATTCTTCATTCCTTGATTTTCACCCCTAAGGGTGGAAATGGTGGATTTTTTTCGAACATCGTCTACCTAGATAAATGCTTAAATCTTAAAACTCGAGAAAGGGTTGATCTTATATAAAAACTTTTATCTTTATTGGATCGCTTTTAGTTTTATTATCGAAATCCAAAAATATTTCATTCTAAACTATACATTTAGAATGACGGAAATGTTAACTCTATTTGTAATCTCTCTAAAAAAAATCTCTAATATGTATGTATTTAGAAATATATAAGTTTCTGTTTAAAAATATACATGCGAGGTTGACGGCAATACACATGCCCGTTATTGCATAAGTGGGACTAAAAGTGGGCAGAATATATGGGTTTAATACACCTCTGTCTACTCTTTCACGGATAAAGACGTATATGTATGTAAATATTTTTTAGCAATTGGTGAAACGGATTGCCTGGGCATCAGGCTGAACTTTATGACATAACATGACCCTGGAACGGACTTAGTTTGTTGGGGTTCTCAGTTGCTTCATTGTTAGGTTATCCCGGGTGTTCTTCAATAGACTCACTTATGACTGCATATCGCGTGGTTTTAGTAAGTTAGACTCCGATATACCACTTCACCTCTGGTGACGTGATGACAATGAGAACTGCAGGAAGCTGCCTGTTTATCTATAATTCAAAATTGCTTACCCAGACTCACTGATTCATCAACACAGAGCCTTGAAATTTTGGCAGCTGATGCTTTTTACGTTGTAAGCCGATTAGTGGAAATCATCCTTCGCATCGCATCAGACCGGAATGGATACAAATGGATTCGGCGATAGCCGAAAGGATTTTCGTTTTTTTTTTAACAACTTTTAATAGATTAATAATTCACCTACTCCGCAGGTGGTAGCATAAATTACAATTTCATAGACAATGGGTTCATCATCATCTCCTTAGAAGCCTCTCCTTAGAAAAACGATGGAAATTTTACCCCTAAAGGAATAAAATAAGGGATGAAAAGTTGTATGGAAGTTCGTCATTTTCAAAGTTAGAAACACGAAATAAGAAATAAGCATGCGAGCGAAACCATGGGCAATAGCTAGTGCCATATTAAGTAGATGCATACAAGTGTAGTTTTGCCAATCCATTTTTAACGTAGTCTAATATAGATTTAATTGGCTGAAATGCTTCCAGATAATGACATTAAAGATGCACAAAGACTGCATGGATGCCGTAGTGGTTTAAGCGGTCACCACGCCGCTCAAAGGTTTGCTAGAACGCAAAGGTCTTCTCACGTTCTCGAGTCTTAACGTCCATGGTTCCTCGCCAGCCCACTGCGCATCTCAGATACACCTTTTTTTTCCGTGCGGAAATCCCCTCGGATACCACCGGGATACCTCGGATACCAGTGGCATGTCGAACCGACTAAAACCGCACGCACTAATTGCCGGGGAACCAGGTATACTCTAGAAAGGAAGTCCCTGGTGCCCCGACATACCTCGGGTCATCTACAGACGAGTAGACGACCCCCCTCCGTGTGGGAACCCCATGTTCCCTGTGCTCCCTGGAAGCGAGCGTGCTTCGCAACGCGCTCGTCGCCACCCCCGGCCTGCTTTACCCAGAAGGTAATTTGGAATTGTATCTGAAACGACCAGAACAGCCGCCTCGGATACCGTTCGATAGGCCCAGGTTATCTTCAGTGTGCCTCTACATTGTACCTATGCGAAGCCGATTTCTGTCCACTCTAAATGCCTCCCCAACGCCTCTAATCCGTAGAGCATGATCGAGTTGTAAACATTCATAAGAGCTCGTCTGCGACTGCTTGCCGCTTTAGTAGCTGCACTGGCGATCTGTTCTCAAAATGCCAATTTCGAGTCGATCATCACCCCGAGGTGTTGTTTTACAAAAAGAGCACGAACACGCTGCGGAAACTCCCTCTGCGCTGTGAGTACCACAACTTCTATCTTCGCTATAGAAAACGACATACAACGACAAGGCTCCTCAATCTATGCACTTCGCCATAGCTCATCGCAAGCACTAAAGCCGCTACGTCGTTAGGAAAGTCGTCTCACACATCAAAAAACGATCCCTTAGATGATGTTTATGAGATACTCGGAGACACCTAATATCTGAAGCACTTTTACAATGTTCGACAACTTCGCAGAATAAAAAGCATTCTTGACATCGAATGTCATGTTTATACATACGGAACGGGACCTATGGTACCCGCAGAACAAAGGCCAAAGTTAGCGTATATGAAGTTATTTAAGTAACCCAAGAATTAACAAGTCACACAAACTCGTGTTGGAAACATAAACAATTTATGTTAGCATAGGACAGAATGAAATTAGGATACAAACAGTTTTAATTAAATTTTTATAAGACCTTATGACAACACGAAAATAAATGAGAGTGGAAACTTGCGGCAGTCGCATTTGATTTTTAACCGACTTCAAAAAAAGGAGGAGGCTCTCAATTCGACTGTTTTTATTTTTTTATTTTTTTTATGTTTGTTACCTCAGAATTTGGTTTAGTACTGATAATGGCATCCATGAGAAAACCAGCGTTGTGTAAAATTTAATTGCAAGGTACAATTAAAAATAACAATTGATTAATTGATAATTGTAAAATATCAATTAACAATTGATTAATTGTTAACTGTGACGTTTCAATTAACAATTAATTAATTGTTAACTGGTAGTTTTTCAATTAACAATTAATTAATTGTTAACTGTTCGTTGCCTTATTTTTTTATTTTATTTAAAAAAAAACAACTCCCTCATAAGGAATATATCCCGTGTCGCTTGGGACTTTACAAACATACATGAAACGAACACAAAGAACACCCAGACTCAGAACAACAATTTGTGGATCACACGAACTGTCGTCCCATGTGGGGATCGGACCCACAACACTCAGCGTAGTAGTGAGCGGCGTGGCGACCGCCTAATGCACTACACCATCCGTGCAGTCAAGTTTTTTAAATTAACAGATAATCAATTGTTAATTGTTCCTGCAATTAAACTTTAATTAAATTTAAATAAAGTAAAAAGAAATAATACAAGATGGAGGAGTGGCACAGGATAGGGCTCTCACAAGGTTGTCTGATTATCTTGCAAAGTCAGCAGGAAGCCGTTGGTTCCAGGCGGAGCTAGATCGTTATTCGTGGGTGTTACTAGGGGAGGCTTATGTCCAGCAGCGGACTCGGCTCATATGCTGATTTGTAATTTCTCGTAAACAGAAAATAAAATTCAAGTTATAAGTACTAACATAATATTTTTCATTTCAATTTAGTCAGTCAAACTAACATAATATAGGTAGACAACAAAAAATACACATTTAAATCACATAATATAATAAATCACAAATAAAATGCAATCTGAATTATTATAAGAAATAATACATTTCTAATAATAATTCAGATTGCATTTTAAAACAACTCTTTTTTCAAACATACCATCTGACAAATTGTGACTTTTCGGCAAATTAGTCATTGTTGCGAAGGAAAAAAGACGCGAAATAGTTTGCATCAAAAAAACACAGAAACGGTCGCGGCGAAATAAGTAAGATAACAAAAAAGATCATTTTTATTGTCTGCACCTACAGGTTCAGTGCAGAGAAACATGATTATTAATTGTTAGTTTTAATTGTTTCTTACAACAATTAGAAATATTACTTGCATTATTTTAATTATATCTTGCAATTAACATAACCGAATTAAAATAAATTAATTGCAATATGCAACTAACAGATTAATTGCAATTAAATTAATTGTGATTAAATTAATTGCAATTAATTTTTCAATCAATTACTACGATGATTAAAATATTAATTGATTAATGCCCAACACTGGAGAAAACCATATACATATAACTTAACTTAACTTAACTTGTTCGCGACAAATAGACGAATAACTCAATATCACGCAAACCGATTTCGATAATTCTTTTATTGGAATGGATCTACTTTAATGGTACTTTGATGAGAGTTTGGTTAGATTCTGATCATCGGATCCACGACAAAGTAACGGAACTCTTCAATTCTTAGGAGCTCTTTTTTTTTTTAACGTGTGGAAATCCCCTCGGACCGTCACCCCACCGGGGTTTGCGGCGGGGTGGTGTGTCGGACTCGGACCGACTAAAACCACACGGTGTGCCCTCTTTGCGCTTCCAGTTTAGGAGGGGTCCAGGCAGTTATCGCCTTCTGGACCCCTCCTAGCGCCGGCCCGCTCCTATTGCGGGCCCCGTCTCAGAATTTTCCTCTCTTTAGGCGACGTCCGGTACACGCGGACGCCGCCCCCTCGCGGCTGGCCAAACTAATGCGGGTGGAGGGGAAACCCACCCCGTCCACCCGCGGCCACACTCAGGGCGGCATGAGGCGCAGGTAAGCGCGCCTCCGCCGCCCGGTTCGCCGGCGGCGGATCAGGTCCGAGTGGAGGTCGTCCTCCCGGGCCTTCTCCGCCGCCTCCTTCTGCGAGATTACCTCCTCGCAGAAGGTAGCGACCGCGGTAAAACAACTGTCGCTACCGGCCATGGAGCGAATTACGGCCGGTAGCGAGAGATCTGCTCCGATGACTGCAGTGAGGGCCCGGCGCTGCGTCGCCCATGCGGGGCAGACCGCCAGCGTGTGCTGGGCCGAGTCCTCACTGCAGTCGCAGTGGTGGCAGGCGGGACTCAGTTCCCTCCTAGCGACCGAGTGCAGGTACTTTCCGAAGCAACCGTGCCCGGAAAGCACCTGCGTCAGCCGGAAGGAAAGGGTCCCGTGCTGCCGCCCTGCCCACTCGGCGATGACCGGCTGGAGAGCCTCCACGGCGGCGAAGCCAGCAAGTGGAGTCTCCAGCCGGAATGACCATCTGACCGTGGTGGCTCGGCGAGCGGCTTCGCGCCACTCGCGCACGTCCTCGGGCGGAGGGCGAAATCCGCTCTCCGCCCGGAAGTCAGCCACTCGCCGATAAACTTCGGCGAGCACCTCCGCCTCCAAATCCCACGGGGGTGTTCCGGCCAAGGCGCAAGCCGCCTCGGTGGACACCGTGCGGTATCCGCGTATGGCTCTGACCGCCAATATCCTCTTGGGGCGCCAGAGGCGCGCCCTATTCGCCCTATATTTGAGTCACCTACAGTAACGTCGTTATGGTCAAGTAATTGTCGTCATCAACAGCCTTTAATAAGCTACTGCTGGACATAGGCCTCTCTTTAGAAAACAGGTTTTGGCCTACTATACCACGCTGGCCAGAGAGTATAGAGTTTATTTCAAGTTTTCCTTCTCTCTGCAGTGCTGTTGTCCTGCGTAGTTTGCTCCCTCAGTCGACTCTTACGACACCCATGGGATTAAAAGGGGTGGTGACATTCTGTATTCTTAATCCGTCGAGTCCGTCGTAGTCGAATATAACGATATCTCTTTTGAAATTGTTAGATTGTCTCTGTTGAGATAGGCGTTTCTCCCTGACTCCCTTTGTTTCATTCAAACGGCGCTGTCTCATTTGAGCAGCACGTTTATTAGGTCTTTTTTATTAGGTACAAATTAGTAAGTATAGTTCAGATTCACTAAAAATCAAAAAATAAACAAAAATTCAGCCAAGTCGGTGTTATCTACACCTTATAAGTGAGAAGTGCTTGTGTCACACGCGCGAGTTGACGAGACTTAAAGTATTCTTGCATTATTATTGCTAGGTATATCGTAGTGTTACCTTGGCTGACACCGACTCCAAAAATAACAATAATTGTAACTACATTATATTCATTTCATTTTACTTAGGAGAACTCAAATAAATATTTTGATAGTTGTATGTTATTCACATGTATATGTTAAGTTAGATTTGAAGTGGGTAGGTACCTACCTTTTTTTTTCCCCGTGCGGAAATCCCCTCACATGTCGGACTCGAACCGAATAAAACCGCACGCCGTCTCGGGTACTAATAGCCGGGGAACCAGGTATACCCTAGAAAGGAAGTCACTGGTGCCCCGACATACCTCCGGCCATCTACAACAACAGGTAGACGACCCCCCGCCCCGTGTGGGAACCCCCATGTTCCCTCTGCTCCCTGGAAGCGAGCGCGATTCGCAACGCGCTCGCTTCAGGGTAGGTACCTACCTAGCTTCTTGCGTGGTAAACACATAGATCGTACCTACATATAGATGAGTAGAAAAAGTTGATTATTCAGTTGTAGAAGAATATGCATTTATTTTTTTACTTTTTAGTGCATATTAATTTGTTTTGGAATAGTGTTTTTTGAAGTCGGTTTTTCTTTGGTTAAAAATTTTAAGAGCTATGCTTCAAGATATTTAGGCCTGGAATGGAATGGAAATGGAGTAGGGGGCGAAGGAGTAGACAGGTCACCTGATAGTAAGTGACTACCTGCATTCAAGACATGAGGGCGTTCCTCGTCCTAGAGTTGGGGTAAAGGGCCTCTGGTGACCTCACTCACTCGGTGAAAAGCAACGAAAGAACTGCTTAACACCAGTTTTCTATGAAGCCGTGGTATCACTTCGGTTTTGTCTTCCCATTGTGTGCCGAAGCATAGCTCTCCCACGCTCTATGCTTGCATGATAAATAATATTTTATAACATAAATGGTTGTTAAAAATGTTTTTTTTTAATAAATAGTACTCCTATATTAAATTGTTGTTTGTGTTTAATGTACTTATTGCATATTGCATTTTTTTTATTCCCTTATTCCCTTTAAGTTTCCATTAGTCGACTGGCCTGTTGGTCTAGCGGTTAGTGACCCTGACTTACATGGTATATGCAAGGGACACCAGTTTCCGTCGTCTACCTGTTGTTGTAGATGGCCCGAGGTATGTCGGGGCATCAGGGACTTCCTTTCTAGGGTGTACCTGGTTCCCCGGCTATTAGTACCCGAGACGGTGTGCGGTTTTAGTAGGTTCGAGTCCGACATGCCACCGATAGGTGGTATCCGAGGGGATTTCCGTAGGGAAAAAAAAATAAAAAAAATAGGGCGGTTATCACTTTCACAAACTTGGGCAACGCTAAAATTTCTCCATTAAATTCATGATTGGATTACGTAGGTATTCTTGAGTTTTGCAAAGCTCAGGAGTTTTCTTGAAAATTGTTTCACAATTCTGCATGGCACAAAGCCAAGAAATTTAAGGCAGCTGTTTTGTATTTGATATGATTTGCAAAGAATTTATTGTAGAAAAAGTCTTACCTTTTCTCATCGTGATTTTTACATACTGTCTCTTGCAACACTAAAATACTGCCAACTAGTACGTCCAGTGTGTACGTACTTGACTCCAGTGTTATAACTTCTACTGTCAAAACAGACAAAGGCATAAGAAGATGCTCTAAAGCTCTGTGAGTCCTACTTTTCTTTAAAGGAAATGCAAATGTGCTATCGAATTTATGTGACCATCTGCACACCTTTAGGATTCATCACAAATAGAGTCCAAAATATAACTTCAATTTACCTAAATAGATTTTTTTTGTGTTCCAATACTAAAATATATTTCTTTGTCACCAGTCGTGAGTCCTTCGGCCAGCTTCCTCGTTCAGCCAGTATCGACTCGATGGTCGAAGCAGCAATTTGCGCACGTCACTCCGAGCCCAGCCCACCGACAACACTACAAATTCCTAGAGCCGACCGCGCCTTCAGTCTCGCCTCACCAGTTGTTGGAAGACGCGCCAAAACACAACGAGGGCAGGCTGGTGAGTTAAGTCTTAAATATTATAAATCCTTCAAAGTCGTTGAAGCATTAATAAAGGTCTGACTTAAAATCTGTATCATAGATCTCTAACACTAGTCTAGATGTCGCATCAATTGGATTCTACAAAACATAGCTGAGCAAGTCCAATAGCTGTAATAAGTATCTAAATTTAAAGATTATGGATTTAATAACGTTATGAAGTCCATTATATTTAAATTTGCAAAACACACATATGCACAGAAGCACCTACTTATGTAGGTACTTTAGTTCTATAAACCTGTGAATACACGCTACTTTGACTACTTTTGTTTAAAGACAGTGTCTGAAAGCCGCACTCTAGAATCACAATATATTGACCAGGAAATAATAAATATTAACTGCCGTACCTGAAAGTTGCTGTATATTTTCAACGTGGGTTATCAAAAAACCTCCATCAGACGGCTAACTACAGTTAACGCTCTACAGAGCGTGAGCTTATTGGTAAAATCTAATAGCGTGCTCTTTCTTAGCTTCATGTTACATTCTGCCGTCTCTTTCACTCAATCATCCTCACAGATTGCACGAAAACAAGAGGAAAGATATTAGATATCAAAATGTCATGCTAAGTCAAATTTCCTCAGAGGAAGAGTTTTCGAAAAAAAAACTCTACTCGTAAATTATGTTAGTTATTTACTGTTTCATTTATTTTCTAAGCTAAGCTAGCTTAAGCTAAATGTATCAAAATTAGTATACAAATAAGCTATTTACGATTTGGATGAGACGTTATCCCTGACAAAGTAAAACCGTAAATATGGTCAACATAAAAGGTTGCCGTTTTGAATTCGGAAATATAAACCGTAAAATCTGCTTTTTATTTTTCTCAATACACCTGTATCGAGCACATTTGAAGACTAATAACCTGGACTTGGCCCAATATTGGACAAATAAAAGTAATAAAAGTGTTCGAGCATTTCTTAAAAGCGTACTTAACAAAAAATAGTTTTAGCATTGCCATTAATTTGTATTATTAACTAATTTTATATGCTTTCGGTACATTATGATATTCTAGGTAATTGACCACAGTATATATTACGTAGGTAAATCCTTACTATAAATATTTGTGTTATTTATACAGACTTGGTTGTATGATTACTTAATAACTTTATTGTACTTTGGGTTTGCTAACTGTATTGTGCGGCTTTCACTAAAATGCAGAGATTTATTTTAAATTAGAATTAGACGTGTTTTCGTGATCGCCAATTTCTACTAAAACTAATAACTCAGATAACATACAGGCGGAAATCTTAGGCCCAAACGCAATTGATAAGTGATGTTTTACCAGACTGATATAATATATAGAATGGTAGGTATAAAAAAGAAAGATTAAAGTTAAGGTGGACGAGTTCTATGAAAAATTACACGCCTTGAAACACTTTTATATCATTAGTTATAAAACAAAACTTTTACGAACATTTTGCTTTTCCTTCTAAATTTGAGGGACAATAAGTAATGTCTTGTTTTATAAAAAAAAAACAAGTTTGTACAAAAATAGAGTTCTTTGTGATTCTTACACATGCCTACCTCCGATTTGCATATTCCTTGAAGCAAAAAAAGTAGTAATAATAACCTCACACGGTCGTCTGATCTCAACCTGGACAGATCCTGGACTATAATCACGCTACTGATTAACATTCTTTAATATTTTTAAATTTATACATATTATAGACAAGACACAGAAGAAATGATCGTGCTCATTAGGTAATTTTCTGTCATGAATGGAAAACGAAGCCACGACCTCTGACTTAAATGTCAGGGTCCCTTACCACCTATCAAATATATTTTATCCAGTATTATACAATACTAAATATATTGACTGAATAGACGTTGGAAAGTTATCATTTATTTGCCCCATTTCTCATATTGGTGTCGTTCGAATTGAGCCATTACAAAATCTAATAGTTCCAAACCAATTCAAATTATGACTATATGGATGGAGATGAGCTTGAAAGTTCATGTCTTAAACGTTTGGCTTACTCAAATTTACTGCGAGGCATATAAAAATTGTCATTTTTATATTTATTGGTGTATAAATATTCTACATTACTCTTCACTGCGTACTAAGAAGTCCAGTTTGATGAAGTTCGACCCTGAAATAATTAGAAGTCTAGTTCAGGCTTGTAAATGTAATTGCGTATTTTTATAAAGGCCACAATGTGTTTTTGTTTATCAAAAGAAGTATGTCCATCCTATAGTTAACTTTGATTAATCAGCGGCACAACAATTACTTCAAAAGTCGACCTGATGGTAAGCCACTACCGACGCCTATGGACACCTGTAACTCTATATTCACTAATGCTTTGTCGCCGTTTGAGTCGCCCTGAGAATCGGGAGGGAGAGGGGTTGGACTTCTTTAACCTCGCTCACTCGTTGAAAAGTAACGAAGCAATTGCTTAACACCAGTTATCTGTGAGGCCGTGGTATCACTCCGTCGATCAGGCCTATTTGTGCTGAAGCATGGCTCTTCCACGGTAAAAACCGTGGTTGTTGGATATTTTCCTGCTCTTTAACATTGTCACTTACTCTTTGCAATCATGAATTCAATATTTCAATTCAATTTACAAGAAAATGTGTAAAACGTTCATCAACAGCCTTTACTAGTTCACTGCTGGACATAGGTCTCTTCTTAGAAAGGAGGTTTTGGCTTACTATACCACGCTGGCTAGATGGGTTTGTATAGGGTTTGTTTCAAGTTTTGCTACTCTTTGCAGTGCTGTTTACTCCCTTAGTCGGCTCTTATGATACCCACGGGATGAATAGAGGTGGTGACACCCTGTATTCTTAATCCGTCACCACAGAAATTCTTTTTATATTTAGGGAAGTCACAACTAGGGTCGCCAAACCGCAAACTATTTGTGAAAACTCACAGTCTGGGTTTAATTTGTGTCCGTTAATCATATACTGTTTGTAAAGGCCCCGTACCATTTAGCTAGTGTAACATTTGTTTTTGGCAAATAAACTTTTAAAAACAAATTTCGAAAATTAGTCTCATTTTACTGCAGACAGCAGGTTCTATCTGAGGCTCCGTAAGACCTAAAATCTGTAGCATACTGAACAAGTGATAACAAATATAAACAGATAAAGTCAATGACAAGTTTTAATATAATATATGAATAATAACTCGAGAAAACTCACACGCGGCCGAAACTAGACAGAGCCAATACAAAAGCTACTTACATTTAGTAAGTACGTACATAATATTGATTAATTAGACCCAGATCCAGAACAAATAATCATGCTTATCATAAAATTATTTGCCCTGGGTGGGAAATCAACCCACAACCTCTGCCTCGCCAGTTAACATCACAAACCAACAACCTAACAGGTCAGAAACATAATCGAACAACATGGCAAAGATTGCTTTCACTACTCTATCCCTTTCTTTATTCCTATGTATGCCCTATGTCACAGCTTTAAATAACTGGTGTCTCCGATGTCATTGAGATTGATTGCAGTTACACATGTCAAAATAAATAGGGGGTGGTTGACTCTCGCTTTTGAATGGCACTTTCTGAAGTGCATTTCCGATAACCTTTTCGCTTCTTGTAACTTCTGCTACTTTAAGCGTTTCGTAGATATGTATTTTAAGCGAGTTTAAATATTTTAAGGTTAATAGGCTTGTGTATACTAATAACAAATTCACATCACATCACATCAACAGCCTTTAATAGTCCACTGCTGGACATAGGCCTTTCCTTAGAAAGAATGTTAAAAGATTAAGATTGTAGATTAGATTATTATAAGATTATTATTATTATTAGATTAGATTATTGTTAGATTTAGTTCAAGATTATTAATATTTTTTTAAAATAAATTCGAACAAAATAGGCATTAAGTTACATGACAGCGGACACCAATCAGAAAGTGTTACGTCACGCCACGCAAAACATCACTGTTGTTGTTGACGTTTTCATACAACAGAGTAGGTTAATCCTTATTGTTTTTCGTTTTTAGCATATTTTCTCACCTTTATACAGTTTCAGTTTTATTTCGCAGATTGTCACTTCATTCAAGACTCCATGACACCTATTCAGCATTTTCAAGGGAAATTTAAATTGTTTTTTTATATACAAAATACGTAATGTAAATATTGCCTTTTCTTTAAAATATAGGTTTTTTGGGATAAAATATATAATAAAGCATATTATTAACGAAGTTTTCAAATTAAGTCAACTAGCCTATTGTCCCGTATTAAGGAAGACTCCTTGCATTAGCGAATACCTTGGCATTATGAAAAATGCCCGCATTAAAGAATACTCCTGCAATAGGGAATATTCCTCGGAGAGCTTTACGAATTAAATGGCGAATAAAAAGCTGAATGTAACTTCGTATGCGGCTTGTAGACTGTCGACGGATTTCGAAACACTTTTTCATCTACTAGAATTCAAGCAGGTACATATCAAATTCGTACGAGTAAGTTGTACCTCAATCTCATAAACTACCAAAAAAAAAACATATTTGTAAGTATACCTACAAATGACAATTGTTCCTCCAATGTTGTTTTATTACGGTATAATTTGTAAATTTATATTACTTAAGTAGTTCTATTGTAAAGATATAAAAACTTAGAATTTTATAATTAAAAAGCTAAATTGAAAAGCTTTGAAAAAAAAATAACGAACAGAGTTGGTTGGCTTTCTTTTGACATGTTAATGAGGTCGCCGAGGAACTTGCAGTAGCGACGTACCCACATACAAATAAAGTAATAAACTCACCTGATATAAATATTTTGTAGAAAAATATACAAAGTAAGGCTGGTAAGGAATGAAGCGGAAATTAATTTTATCGAATTGAATTTGGTTTCCGTTTTTGGACAACAATATATAAAAATGGTACAACACAAGTTAAACCGTTATGGACTTCATGCGATCTATATTAATTATTTATCTGTGACATCCAGCGGATAAGCTCCAGATTGGTAAACAACAGACAGAGTCAGATGTTAGCGGAAGTTGGGCTAAATAAAATACGAATGGAACTAAAGTTTCCAATTTAAACTGCTATCAGTCTATATAATACACAATCTG